GTGAGATCATGACCTGAGCTGAAACCAAGAGTCAGATGCTCAGTCCACTGAGCCACCCAGGCATCCCATCCTCAGCTCTTTAAACACAGAATGTTCTTGCCACCAAAAAGCAATCTTTAACGGGCAAACCACACCGTGTTCTCTCTCTATGTGGAATATCAGGGCTCCTATATTTTATCGCAAGTCATGTATTGGCATTTACAGCCTTTGAGAAAGATTAAAAGGGAGGGGCTCGTGGAGAAAGCAGAAAGTAAATGGGTAGGACACAGAAGGGCAGTGACTCACTGCTTCGCCAGAAATCGGCTGAGGGCCTTGTGCCTTCGGACACCAAGCATGACTTGGCGGTGCAGATACACAAATACAGCTCCCAGGAACCCACAGCAAATCCTGAGGGTGCAAGTCATACAGCAATGGAACCCTCATCCCAGACCTGGCTGTGGCAGGGAAACAAATACCAGGCACCCACCCTCCCCCAGCAACTCACACTCACCCACGCCTGCCCCCAGGCTTTCAGCTTGGGCCCCTCCCAGCCCAAAGCCGCACCCTGCCCTGCCCCCACCCCCAGCTAACCACTCCCAGGGCACTCCACTGACCCGATGATGGCAAAGGCTGGGAGTTCCTGCAGGTCAAAGGGGAAATCCATTCGGAAATTGGTTCTGAAGAGGGCGGTGATGGTGACTACGGGATGGAAAGGCATGGTGGGAGCGCCAGAGAGACCCGAGGGGAAGCCAGGGTCATCAGCCGAGGGTCAATTCCTTCCTTCCTCCGAGGCCAATGTCACCTCTTCCACTGAATTTCCAGTTTTTATGGCCGAACACTGCCCTTCTACTCCGTGATCCAGGACCTATATCTTTGCTCTATATCCTTGGGCCCACTTCCGAAATAATGCCATCCATTCCTTTTCTAAACCGCCCTAAGGAGCTTCCCTACACGCCCCATTACCAGCCTCCCTCCTTCCCTGTTACCGGCATCCTTGTTCCACACGGCCAGCACGCGGAAAACAAAGGCACTGAACGTGGCCGCAAAGAATCCTCGCCAGTAGTTCCGCACGGCAAAGTAGGTAGAGGTGACCTCGATGCTGAACAGCACTCCTGCAGGGGCGTGGGGGTGGTCAGGGCCAGACAGAGTAAGAGGCTCTCCCCCAGCCCCCACCCTGTGGCCCCGAGGTGCTTTTGCTGAAACCTGAATCACGAGGGGAAGCAGCAGTGGGAAGTAATGGTCTCCTGGAATCTCACGCTCTAAAACATACACCTGCTCACGCTGGCGGTTGTTTGCAGGCTGGGGATGTGGTCCAGTAAGATACAGAGAGGAGCTCGGGGTGGGGGACGGGGAGTGTGGTCCTCAACCCACAGACTGAGGGGGTCAGGTGGTCCCACCCTCTCTCTCCCTTAGAAAGTAGGGTTGGGTGGGATTCACGATTGTCAGATAGCCACAGGGACTTAAGGGTTGTTGCAAAGTTTCTGCAGGGAAGTTATGGGAGAAAACATTTCCAGAGCAGGTGCTCAGCAGAGCTGTGAGGCAGAGCTCAGGACCCACGGGAACTCTCCTTCACATTCCCTCCAATCTCTACTCCCTCCTCCCAGGTACCACATACCTTGAGGCAACTTTATAAGGAACAAATAAGAAAAATGAACATGAGAAGCCTTCATGAGAGCTAACAATAATCAATATTCCAAGAAAAGAAGAGGATTCATCAAAGTGTTTAAAAATTAATATTAGGGGCGCCTGGGCGGCTCAGTCGGCTGAGTGTCTGACTCTTGATTTTGGCTCAGGCCATGATCCCGGGTCATGAGATTGAGCCCTGTGCATGCACATTGAGTGCAGAGCCAGCTTAATATTCCCTCTCTCTCTCTCCCTCTCTCTCTCTCTCTCTCTCTCCCCCTCTCCCCTGTGCGTGCTCTCTCTCAAATTAAAAAAAAAAGTTAACATTAAAAACCTGACATAAAATAACAAAAACAAGGGGAAAAACCAAGAGGCTAGGAGTTAAAAACAATTTTGTTTCAGAAAGGTGAGTGGGGCAGAAGGAAAGCTAATTAAAAGGCCTAAATAGCACTGTTTCTGAGCAGATGCTGGAGGGGAAAATGAGGAGGTCGATACATAGACCGATAGCAAGCAGAGGGAGGGACAAAGTGAGGAACGCTAATGAGGGCCTAAAAGCGAGATTCAAGAGACAGCAAGGAAAATAACCTTTGAACGTATTAAGAATACGGGAGTGGACTTTGATTAGATGCAGGATAAAAATTGATGGCAAGAAATAGTAGCTAGCTAAGCCTCATCTTTATGGAAAATGAGGAAGAGAAACCAGAAAAATGCAGCATGTAACTAGATGAATGGAGGAGAGGCCTGGGCCCAAGAGCAACCAGGAACCAGCTAAGGTGCGTCTCCTCCTTTCCCCCCACGGTGAACGGTTGCTGGTCTGAGACCCCTCAGGTAGCAGCTTCCGTCCGAGCCAATGTTTTTCTCCCTGTTCTACATGCAAAGTCACAACTCTGGACTCCTCCGGGACCGCCCCGCTCTGTTTCACAGGTGACAGTCAATAGTTGAGTAAGTTACTTGCTCCAAGAGGATAGTGGCCTGCCGGTTACTCCCTCACAGAGTAGCTGCAGCATTTTGGCCGAGGGTCCCTAGGGGTCAGCTCAAAAGTCACCTTCTCTGGGAAGGCATTACAGGTGCCCCTCGTCAGGTGGAAACAGCTGACTGTCTCAGAATTTTGGACTGTTTGAGCACTTGTGTGTTTCCGTCTCTGAGTTCCCCCTAGGATCAAAAGTTCCTTGGAAACCACCACCTAATACAATGCCTGACACATCGTCGGGGCTTTCTGTCTGTTCTATGGGTGAACGGGAGAGGAAGGGGAGGAGAGAGAACAAGAGAGAACAGAACAGGTGAAATTTCAGAGAGCGGAGCGAGGGAAGGGGGAATTTGGGGCAGCTGGAGCTGCCAGCCACCCTTTCTGCCCCTGCTCCTCAAATCACGGCCGGGAAGGCTACTGTCTCCTCGGGCTGAAAGGAGGATTTGACACAGTGTGGGGAGCAGGTGGAGGAAGTCTCTCTCCTTTTCTTTACCAGTAATAAAACAAAGTCAGCTTTGATTTGTTGGGGTGTAAGCTATCCAACTTATGAATATTTTACGACCATATTTTGAAACCCTGGGCTAGATTTTCTTTCCTATGATGTGGTTCTGGGATGCTTTCCCCAGCAGTCTGTCACTCTATACTCAGGAATGAGAACTGATTTTACTATTAGTCTGAGCCAAGCAGAAAATGTGCCGCTAAGAGCAAACAAAGCATTAAAAACACAAACAGCTTCTGGAAACTCTCTGGTTTCTGTTCTGTGGTACAGCTCTCTTCTACCGCCCTGGATGTTCCCTGTTCTCCCCCTCTGGCTCCTTTGCCCCTGCCCAAGCCAGGGCCTTGACCTTGGCCTCCTGCTCTTGCTACTCACAGACACACTTTCTCCATTTCATGGCTTCAACTGCCACCGACAGGCTACTTGTTAGCAAAGCCATGTGTTCAGCTCAGTTCCTGGACTTCAGACTCAACAGTCCAGCTGCCTGGTTGGTATCACTCGGCTATGCCACTGGATCTTCAAACTCAATAGATTTAAAGTAAAATGGATCAACTCCTCCAGACCCGTTTCATGTCCCATATTCCTTGTCTTGCTGACCAGCACCGCTGTCCACCCAATTTTCCTTGGAATAAACTTTGGAAGTTGGCCCAGATTCCTCTGTCTCATCCTTTATAGCCTCACATAAAATCAACCTCCAGGTCACATCAATTTTACTTTCTATCATCCGTATGTATCATCCTCTTCTCTCTTCTTCCTCTGTCCAGTTCAGTCTCTTATCATCTGGCATCAGGGCTTTGACAATAGCCTTCTTCTTAATCTTAGACTGAATCCTGTTAATCCGCAGGCTGGTCCAACTCTGCACACATCTGCTGGAGGGACTGGATGGATGTGCCGGGCCTGTCGTGTGTCACTCCCTTCCTTGTACAGAATTCTTCCATGGCTCCCCTTCCCCTGTGACAGCATTTCCAAAAGCCCGATCTGTGAGGTCTTCTGAGTCTTATGAGAAGTTCCTTGCAGAAGGGATTCTGTGGGAAATGCTGTACTGGAGCCACATTTTGCATATTCACAAAGCATGCCAGCATATCCAACATTCCGATAACTCTTCCAGTTTAAAGAACTAGCTGTTTAACACAGTGTTTTTCCAACTTATTTGACCTTGGAACACTTTTCACGTTACCTCTATTAATGCCATGGAGAACCATGTTCTGTAAAACACATTTGGACAAATTGTGGCCTAGAGAATAGAATCTACATTCTTGTGCATGGCCTGTGAGGACCTTCACGATTCATGATTTCCTTCCTTCATGGTTTCCCTGTGCAGACTCACTTCCTGTTCCTGTTTCTCTTAACAATGCTCTCATCTACTGTGATTACAGCCCCCAGATCTTGACTTTGCAATGCTGTCTCTTCTGTCCAAAGTACCCTGTCCTCATTGTCTTCCTTGCACTTTGCCCAAACTGTCATCGAGACACTTCTTTGGGTGGGCTATGATGATGGGTTTATCTGCCCATCCACCCCGTCAGCTGTGAGCCCCTGGGAGTATGGGATCCAGCACACCCAGAGGGCACACCGCACAGAGGGCACATGGTAGAAGCAAAAAGATGTTTGTCGTTTTAGCAGGTTGTTGAAGCAGATTTCTTTCATCAGTGTAAGGAATTAAGAGTTGGCTATGTAATGAATAAATTATCGTTTTACTAATGTTTTCTTTCAGAATTACTCTATGTTCTTAAAAAAAGAAAAATAATCAAATAAGCCTACCTTCCAGGGTGTTTATTTTTTAATTTTTAAAAAATTTGAGAGAGTGTGTGCATGCGTGCGCAAGTGGGGGAGGGGCAGAGAAAGGGAGAGAGGATCTCAATCAGGTTCCATGCTCAGCACAGAACTCAATGCTGGGCTTGATTCCAAGACCGTGGGATCATGACCTGAGCTGAAATCAAGAGTTGGATGCTCAGCTGACTGAGCCACCCAGGTGCCCCCTGAAAATGGCATCTTAATTTTTCAGTACTGAACCTTTTCTCGGGTCAAGAGCCATGTTTTACCTGTCGCTCCCTTACCACCTTCCTATATGCTACACTGGACCAAGAGAAACCTTCCTCGTTCATCCTAGACATTCCAGTTTTATGCAAAAAATACACATTCTCTTCATTTTAAAATAATCTGGCTGATTAAAAAAAAAAATTTTTAAAGCCCACCTGTCTGAAAATGCTTTTTAGACTTTCTGGATTTGTAAGGCAAAAAGAGAAAGTAAAGGTGAAAGTGGGTGCAAATGTTAAGTGTGAATGTCTAACGTGTACAGAAATTCAAACGCACTGAAGTGTGTACAGAAATTCAAATACACCCCTCACTCATGGAGACTGGTGACTTTAATGACAAGAGCTGACACGAGAAGTACAGACAGGATGCTAGCTGATCTTACGCTGGGCACAGCATCAGGACAAACGGGTATGACACACTTTCTGCTCCCTCTGAACGCTTACTCGTAAGTCATGCCTGAGCTGAGACGTGGGAGTTACCTGCGCACTCCTCTATGAAGGGACTGATTACATTTTCATAATTGAAAAGCTACCTCTAACGTTTAAGGAGCATATGCTTTTCTGGCAATTTTGTTTCCCCAGTGTCAACTCGGTGCCCTTTTTATCACCAATGAATCCAATGAATGAATGATCCATGTAGTCCCTCCTGTGTTAATCTTGTTACAACGGACTCACCACTAAGTAAACACGGCTGCTTTCTCTGTCCGTGCCCACTTGTTAGTGACCCAGGACAAAGAAAACAGTCTGAAAAGCTGCCCTTTGCCTTTCATGTGCGGGGAGAACTAATCTCAGGTTTATGTTGCTGTCAGGGAGCAAAGGTGCTTTAATTCCTGTCCGCAGCCCTCATTAAAGCTGACCATTAGTCTGAATAACCGCACCTAGACCCCCGTGTCCTTGATAACACGCACAATGGAAGCTCTCCCGTGGAGAACACACTACATAAGGTCCCCGGTTAGAGGACGTAATAAGTGGAGGGCAAAGGTGTCCAACAATTTCGACAGGCTTTATTGATTACAAGTAGGGGGACTGGGGGGACTGCCTTGGTTTTCATTCCCCGCTCTACCTCTTGCTAATGGGCTGGCCTTGCTCAAGTCACTTACCCTCTCTGTGATCAGTTTTCTCCTCCCTCTCCTCTGTGCTGTCGGTCTCATACAGTTTTTAGCAGGAGTAAGGTGCTTAGAACATCACCTGCACACGGTAAATGCTCACTAAAAGTTTGCTGTTCTTGTCATACTTTTGTTTTAACTGGCAGTATCGCACTCGGGGAGCAGGGCCAGGCAGTGGACTGATGTAGGAGGGGGTAAATCACTTGCCTCCGAGTGGTGTCCCAAAACAACAGCCAACTCCCACAGCACAGCCCACAGTCAGCATGTCAGTGTAATAGTATGGCTGCTACTAGGGGAGAGAGAGAGACAGACAGAGATGGGGGGTGGGGCAGGGAAGGGGAGCAGAGAGGAACGGAGAACAGGCAAGGGTGGGGAATAAGGCAGAAAGAGAGGCTTAAGTCACAGAGACTCACAGTGGTCCCATCTCCCCCAGTGATTCCCAGGTCAAGAGATACTCAGTTAGTTTGGCAAACAGGAAGTGACCTCATAGGGCAAGCCAAACTTAGAAATAAAAGGTAAATATATGCAAGGCAGGTAAGCCAATAAATGATCATCAGAGAGGGGCTGGAGATGCGGACAACCCAGGCAAGAAGTGTCGATAGGAAGAGAAACAGAGAGGACTTCAGACAAACGGTACCAATAAAAGCCTGCATAAAACAGCCGCCAGCCGCGAAAGAACACATAGCCCTTTGGCGGAAAAGCGTGGGTGCCTGGAACCCAGGGGCTGCGATCCGGGGTCACTCCTTGAATGCCCACCCCCCAGTCCCTTCAGCGAGCACCCTCTCCACCCCAAAGCTTAGGCAGCCACTCAAACCCCCTTCCAGGTCGTGCTCCGGGGTAGGGAGGAAGTGGGACTTGCCTCCGATAGGGGCTGCAAAGCAGCATCCCACGCCCACCGCACAGGCCGGCACCAGGAGATCAAGCCGCCCAGACACGGTCTGCAACAGAGAAGCACGCAGGACGAGGAGGGTGGAGGGCTAGGGCCGGCAGTAGTGCTTGTGAGAGATGGGGTGGGGAGGACCAGGAAAACAGAGGGACAGGGTGGGTACAGGAGGCAAGGGCGGAGCTTGGATGGGGCGCGGG